AAAGACTCAGAAAGTCTAATGATGATGATTATAATTAACCAAGAACCTTTTATATTTCACTAACCATAATGTGAAAATTAAATTATATAAAACTTGCTAAAAACAAATAATATATTTTATTGACAAAAAAAAAATTGCAGCTACGTTTCCATAGCATAAAAATTAATAGAGGAGATTAATTTCAACCATTGCAGATCAATAACTTAAGTTGAAATTGAAGAAAATCTGTTAACTTCTCCAGGCTGGGAAGGTGAGAAAATAAAGTTGATAAACTTTGATAGGCTGAGCTTATGACTTGGTAATGAAATCATTTTTCTTTCTCTAGGGAGAAAAATGTGTGATGGGCTACAACCAAATCTAAATGGTACATTTACAATGATATATAATGTAAAACTAAACTTACATTGGTTAACTCAGTCACTGGTTTAAAGTTACTTTTCAAAAAAAAAAAAAAAAAAAATTGAAACAACTTAAAGAAAAAGATTATATCAAAATAAATTTTTTTTTTTTTTTTTAATCGTTTCACCCCAAGGAAGGTTATGATGCCACTAAAACACAAAGGGCTACTGGAAATGAAAGAGAATTAGAAGACTTTAAACAGAACCAGAAACCCAATCTTAAACAAAGAGGAAACCTCTACTCCTGTTCAATAGATGTGCAAGGAGTGTGAATCAGGCTATAGGCAAACCATGATGAATTAAAAATAAATTTAATAATTCTTAAGAAACATATATAAAAATTTAATATATATTTGACAGAAAATGCATCTGTCATCCATGTTATAGTATGGACAGGGTTAGCAACAGTGGATTGTGAGAAGTAAAACATAATAAAATGAAAAATATTTTTCTAATACATTTGAAACTTGATTGAACTTTTTTTTTTTCTTTTTTTTTTTTTTTTTTAATTGACTTAAACATATGACTATAAATGCTTGTTGCTTAGTATTTTTTTCCACATGGGCACTGTGATTTAAAACAGTTTGGGGAACCACTATTTTAATTAATATCAGAAGAATTCTTTTCCTTAGTTGCTGCTTTCTGTTAGTCTAATTGGGAGCTGTACTTGTTTGAATCTATCAATTGAGTTTTTGGATAGAGTTCATAATATGAATTTGATTATGAACTCTTTCTGGAAACTCAGATAGATTCAAACAGCTTGACTATCTCTTTCATTGTATAATGTTCATCAAGTAATATTTTCATCTGATCTCTGTCAACCTGACATCATCATAATTATTCAGTGAGAAATCTCCAGCATTGCAAACCACTTTGACATGTTCAACTATTTATTGTAGCTTCTCCATAAACTTTTTATTTTACAATTTTTCTTAAAACAATGAAAGGATAATATATTGAAAATTTTGCTTATTTTCTTCCGTCTTCAATGTTCGTATCAATAAACAAAAATACAACAATTCTGACAATTTAAGAAAAAATAAATACACCAATATGACAACTGTCATATTGCAATCAAAACTCATTTTGAATGAAGTTTTGCTAAAACCAAGTGTGGCTACTCCTTTTATAGTGCCTATAGTAGGAGTAGCAACATTGAGTCACTTGAAAAATGAAAATGTCAATCATAACGCAGTGTTTATTCTTATGTACACTGTATATCTACAAATGATCTATTTATGATATTAAGCAACCCCCCATAATTATAGCAAATTTTAAACTATATGTGTCAAATGATTAGCCATGTAACTATCAAATAAGACAGGCTAGAAAGTCATTCTGAATAGATACATGGATCAACATGTTTACCAGATGAGCCACCACAATCCATGCTTGTGAGTAGAAAATCTTTTTGATATTGTATATTTCAATGAAAGTTCCTCCTGCCAGATTAACTTTCAAATACCAGACCCACCCACAAACAAGCACCTGGCTTCAACCTTTCCTCACAAACTCACACAAAAATTATTTTTAGGCTTGAAACCACTTACGTAGTATCAGCAATTGAGGATTAGTTATTTTGAAGAAATTATTTTAAAACCGAGGCATGTTTTATTACATATGGGATACGACTATTATAAATACTTATCATATAATATATTAAGTGGAATTTTTCATATATTCCTGAGGGAAATTAGATATGTATTAACATTTTTTAAAAATAGATATTGGATCTTGGCTGTTTTCTAGCAGCCTAAAAGATCAAAAATGAAATTCAAGTAATAATTTATATAGAACTTTATTATATAAGGATAAAAATAAGAAATTCCATTTTTAGCAGAAAATTAAGTGGTGAGTTTTGTGCAGTTGACTAAAGACCCAATCAGGGGAGTTTCTTTTTTTTTTTTTTTTCCTTGGATATATAAAAGAAAAAGAATTTGAAAAAAAAAAACTGCTAAAAATTTTCATCTCTGTTTATACCATCAATTATTACTTTCCAATCACAATGGCAAAAAGAATTTTTATTTGAAACTACAAATTTGACAGAAGAATATATTTTTCCCCAGATTTCTATGATCTTAATAATTGAAATATTAATCAAAATAAAACTAAATTAAAAATTGGTTATGTCTCCATGGCTATGTAATACATTTGCCAAATCTCAATAACCTAGCATGATAGAATAAATATTTCAAGGTGCTATGCAAAAATTCAAGTGTAAAAATGTATCAACTTGTTAAATTTTCCTCAAATGAAAATATAAAAGCAAATCTGTCATTTTTTTATTTCTGTTTTTTTAATTATTACCATCTTCGTTTAGGACAATAAGCAATCCTAGCACTCCATAGATTCCTTTTCTTTATTATCTAAAACCAGCCATAACTTTTTGGGAAAGATAGTGGATTGGTTTTCTCTCTTGTATTCACTATGATTTAGAGTTCAGAGTTTTTCTTCTCCTAGATTGGGTTTCCTATCAATGGGTGGTAACCAATCTATCCTTCTATTTAACTTATAGCAAAGATATGGGGGGGGGTGGATGGAGGAAGGCCTTTCCCAAAGGTAGTAAAAGGGAACACAACAGATTGGGCTGGATTTTCAAGTCAGCTTGCCAATTTCACTTTCCATGCTGATACCGAATACTCTACCTACTAGTCTGTCAACAAGTTCAATAAAAATAGAATCGGTCAGTTAAGTACCATACATGATTGGGTGATCATGTCACTTAATTCATGACTGACTAGGCAGAATATTTTCCTGTAATAGGTTGCCATTTCTTTCTGTGGTAAACTGGTTGCCAACCAAGGCTATAGGACTCCGTCTATCTTGCTATTCAACCCATAGTTGGGAGGAGAAGAGATGAATACATATCTTTCCCAAGGGTATTTGCACATAAGTGAATGTAACAAAACCAACTGTAATTTGAACTTGGCTCTCCAATTTCTCATGCCAACTTGACATCCATTACACCAAGATGCACAACTAGCAGAAAGTCATTAAAAAAAAGAAAAAAAAAAAAAAGAAAGGATTATTTATGTCGGGATGGAACTTCTGCCTCGCAATTTGTGAAAGGTATTACACACACACACTTTACAACCATCAACTGCCTATTTTCACTCGACAAGAGATTTGGAAAAAAGCAATGAAGAGAGAATGAAAGTGTGAAACCAGAAAAGTAGAAGATAAGTAAAAAAGCTAAGGAAAAATGGAAAAAAAATAAAATAAAAGCAAATGAAACGAAAGAGATGAGAGACGTAGACTAAAGAAAGATTGATTACTGCCACGTGTTTTATTACTCCTTTACTTCTGGATGAAATTTTTTTGAATCATGATCACACCATAGGTAGGTAGGTAGAGACTATTATATTAATGTATAGATAATTAACTCAACCTTTAAAAGCAAAGTAAACAATTTGGTAAAGCCACATTAGCAAAATTGCTGCCTTGAGTCTTTAAAACAGTTCTCACAATCTGAAAACACATTCTTTTTCCATCATCAGGTTTCTTAAATTTCTCCTACCATTTTGAATTGTCATCTTTTTTTTTTTCACCATTATGACATGTAGAACTGAAATTCCTTCCCTGGCTAAAATTCATTGGTTTAGATTTGAAATTCCTTTCCTGGAAACAAATTTCCTGCTATTTCAAAAATCATTGTTCTGATTCCATAATTACAGTGGCTAAGTTGATAATAGATGCTTCTTTCAGAAAATATTGTTGATTGATATTATATGTTTAGAAGAGAGTTTTATAATCTACTTGTTTTATATGATAATGCCTGTAAATATATAAATCCTCATTAAAATAATTCTTAAACTTAAAACCATACAAGTTTTCATGTATATATGGTTTTATTACATTAAAACAAATTAATAAAATATAATTTTTCCATTACTAAAAATATATTAAAAAAGAAACTTTCTTAAAACATTTATCTCTACAAATAAAAAGGAAAAAATATTTCTTTAATTAATTAAAAAAGGAAAAGATCCTTGTCCCATTTCTTGACTGGATGACATTAATTGGTGATAGATAAAAACATAATTTTATATTTTTATAATAAATACCCATTGCATAATCCAGTATTAAGATTAAAAGAGCATGTTTTTTTATTATTTGTGAAAAAGATTATGGCACTCATGATTATAAATAGTAAAAAACAACATCAATGATTAAACCTGGAGAAAAGATGTTATCTGTTTCTCAAACATCAAATTACAAATTTGTCTTAATAATCAAAGAAGACAAATAGAAACAATAAAAAATAGATTTAATCACTTCCATTTAACTAATGAAGATTGATTTGTTTTTTTTATGGTTTATCAACCCTTTATGAGTTATTTAAATCTGAAACATATTTTAAAATGTAAGATTATATTTTTTTGCAAATGAATATTGCATTAAGATTTTTTTTTTAAGAATAACAATGATTTTTTTTTCCCCCAGATACAAGTCCTACTATTTTAACCCATAGCTGGTGGGAGGAGAGATGGATTTAGATATTTGTGCATAAATGAACGTAGTGAATGATCATTGAAGAAAAAGGTGGCTGTTGAATGGATTGAGTTAAATATGAACGTCAATCAAAATAAATGGAAAACTTACCAAGTATCTTAATCTTCTGTACATTGCCATAGACATCGAAAAACATCCACAGTGGAAGAGTTGGGTCAACATGCATCAATGTTGTCATCTTACTTGTGTTTCTTGCATAACGAACTTCACCTGAAGAACAAAAGCAAGGAAGAGTTTAGAAAGGCGAAAATGGAATCAATGAACATTTTTTCAGAATCATTAAAAGATACAAGAGACAGAAATCGACAAAATGTTGTCTTTTTAATATTTTGGAAATTTTTTTTTTTCTTATAGAATTGTTGCCTGGATGTGCTGGCCCATTTTGGGGGGAAAAAACAAATCATTCTGTTTACTAAGCATTTAGATGCTGACAGTTATTCCTCATATGCACAACCATTTTGAATTATCATCGGATAATCTACAGCTAAATGATGCCCACAATACACACTATAATAGAAATACATCACCAAAGAGTGTATGTGTATGCTGGTTTGGCAATAGCACAAAGTTAGTTTATAACTTAAACTCTAAGAACCAATATTTCATGGTGTCTTGAAAATGTATATATATATATATATATATATATATATACACACATCCACAGCAGGTAATCTTAAGTTTTGTAAAGATGTACAAGTACATTAACAGCAGCGGAAACATTACTGAAAGTGACTTTTAAACTGCAATGAAATATTAAAAGAAATTTATATGAAACAAAAATTCTACTTTTAGTTTTCCTCTTGGCTTCCAAGTACTTCTAACATCGAGAATTTATTGTCAATGATCATAAGTGTTTAATATTGGGGAGCAAGCTATATAAATACAGTCATGTTTATACTTTTGTGTGTTGCTTGTGAAATTTATCTCTTATAAAAATTTGGTTGACTTGTAAGTAATATCTGCATTTCCAGTCTAACAGTAAATTTCAACTGAGTAAGACCCACTTGTCTTCCCTATCTGCATTGTGTTACTCATTTACATATTGTTATTACTGTGCTTAAAACAATAGCCATTCAGCTGAAATAAAGGGTATCCAGTTTTGAGGAATAGACCCAAAATGGGCCAAGTGATTATACAGACTTGAGTCAGATTTGTACCTTATTACAAATAAATATTACCTAATGACACATGAAAATAAGGAATCAAAATTTAAAAACTGCATAATTTTCAAGTTGTAATATGTGAATTGGATATTTGGGTGTTGTAATGATTATCAATGTGAAAAGTAAAATTGGCAATTTGAGTTCAAATTCTGTCCAAGTCTGTTGCATACACTTTCACATAAATGCCCTTGGGAAAGGTACAAATCCATTTTTTCTTCCACCATCTATGATGGTGGAAGAGAAAATGGATTTGTACCTTTTTAGGCAAGATGGAAATCCCAATGGACTTGGAGATTTCAGTTTTTTTTTTTAGTTTTTTTTAATATTATGTTCCTTAAGATTGTACCTTTCTAATAGACCAGAGAGCCAAGTCTACTCTGCTAAATAGCAGAGTAGACTGGGCTCTCTAGTCTTGGGTGGTAATCAGTCTAAAAGGAAAACTGAATCCTAAACTGAAGAAAGCAATAGGAAACTACTCCTCTATCTTTCACAGATAAAGGAACCTGTGGAGAGCCATGATCCCTTATATACCAAAAAGAAAGACTACACTGAATTCAAAACTACTCCACTATCTTTTCCTAGAATCCATGGTAATTCACAGATAATAAAACAAAGAAACCCATGGAGAGCCATGATAGTCTATGTCTTGAAGAGAGAAAGAGTACTCTGAATTCAAAACCGTGGAGAAGGCAATGTGAAACACACTGCGCTATCTTTTTCAAGAAAACATAATTTACAGATAAAGAAAAGAAATCTGGAGAGTCATGAAGGTCTACATCATGAAGAGATGACATTTAAAAAAAAAACAAAAAAAAAAAAACGGATTTAAATTAAGATAAAATAGACTTGAATTGTTAAAAAGGAAACTAACAAATCTCATATGATCACTTTGCAAGAAGAACATTTTTCTTTTTCATTTATTTTCTTAAAATCAGGCTTGTTCTTTTATTTCCTTAAGAAAGGCTGTCAAACAGAAAAGAAAAGCATAACCACCTCTTCAGATGTTTTTTAAGAAATTGAATATGTGGATATGGTATATATATATATATATATATATATATAAAGACAATTTGGAAAACTGACATTTCACCAATAAACTGGCATCACCAGAAGAAAAATGTTATTTTACAAAACCAAAATCTATATTAACAAAAGAAAACAGTTCACATTAAATGGATTCACACTTGATTTTTATTTTAACTCTATACTTATAAAATTGAATTTTAATTAATTTCAACTGACTTTTTTTTAAATTATTTTTTTAAAGTTTACATACCCACTTTGTTTCAGTAGTAATTTAATAAAAACAGGTGATTAACTGAAATAGCCTAGTTCTATATTAATCAGAGTAGACTTATCTATAAGTACTCTCCAATTAATATACAACTGGGCTACTTTAATTTATAATAACAATTATGATAAATAAGCAAATTGTCTTCTATATTTATCATTGTATCGGATACTTAGTCAACCTTAGTCTGACATGTGAATTTATAACTAGTTTACGGAAATCATAAAAAATGATGGTAAATATAAAGTTGATATTCTGTTAAGCCTTTACTATTATTAGAAAAAATTCATATGCGAGTCTTTAAATATTTCTTTTCTAGTTATTGTTGTACTCTGCAGAGTTGACCTTTCACCTTCTGGCATCTTAAACATCTTGAAACAGTCTGCCATTGTCAAAAGAAAGACACTGCCACCTTGTGTGGCCAGTACAAGAGTGAACTCTTGTCCATTAAAACACTACAGATATTATAGACAAAAATATACAAATACACTCGCCATATTATATAGATTACAGTAATAATAACAACAGGATAAATAAAATGTTAAAAGTTTGTTCCAGTTCTAAACATTCCACTGGTTGGCATTGGAATCAAAGTAAAAGCTAGAATTTTGAATGTTGAGATTTAAGGCAGGCTGGGCTTAGTTAATTGATGCAGGAGAATCTTCCTATTTCTTTTATTTGAATGGAACACGGCTTAGTAAACACCGATAGTCATACATGGTGAAACTGAGACAGAATCATGTTTAAAGAAGACACACAGATTTCTATGAATATGACAATATGATTTGTGTAATGAAGGAAAGATGCTACACAACATACAGCAAAGTCCTAGGAGCAACAACAAATTTCAATCAAAATGCTCCCAATTCAAAATATTTAAATATTGTTATCTTAATTATAATGAGCACATAAGTATTTTAGCATTACTTAAAAAGCATCCTGGAGGAAAGTACAAATTTAGAAGGTTTTAGGCAAGATGGAAATCCCTATGAACCTGGAAATTTGTTTTTTTTTTGTTTTTTTTTAAATATTATGTTTCTTAAGATTGTAAGGCAGTAGCAGGTCTCCACAGCTTCCTTCTATTTTATGAACTGCAATGACTATTCTTGGGGAAGATAATGGAGTGGTTTCCTCTCAATGCATCTGAGTTTTCACACACTGCCAGAGATGGAACACCCAGTCAGGATTGAACACATTACTCAGTAATTATGGTCAACCAGACTAGCTGACTTGATCATTACCCGACCCTGGATTGATTTTCTGTTGTCTTCTCCATGAATTCAGACTGGTTGCTCTACAAACACTAGAGAGTCTAATCTGTCCTACTGAAGGGAAAAAAAGAACAGATTTATATCTTTTCATTTCTATTTTTTTTTCTAATGTTCACCCAATACAAGGCCCAAGTGCCACTTAAAATAGAGGGTTACTGAATAAGGTTGTTGTATAAATGTAAGAGGAAGTAAAGAGTGCAGATAATGAGGATAGATATGATATAGAAAACATAACAGTTAACCCTAGACATTAAGAAGATTGTAGTGATGAGGAAAGCGTCCACTCGGGAATCTGTTCCACAACATAGTGGTTCTTGGGAAGAAGCAGCTCAAATGGAATGTCCTTATTAATGGAATACAATGGGGATGTTTCAGCTGAGTGTATGTGGCATAGTGGGTCTGTGAGGGTTAAAACTGGCAGGACTAATATTTACTATGGAAATAGTGATTAAGTAGCAAGAATCTTGTGATATTTCATCTATGGGAAAGATGTTGTAGGGTGTAAGACGTCATCACCCACAAGGCCAAGTAGATGCGTTTGAACTCTATCAAGACTGGAAAGTGAAGACTGGCAAAATATGGCAGCAGTACTCCATTTTTGGTCGGATCTGGTTCTTGTAAATAGTAGGAGTCAGGTACAAGGAACTGACCATTTTTTCCAGCATCTTTAGTAATTGGTTATATACGAGTTCCATTCAACATCTGGTGTTAACTTGACCCTTAATAGGTGTTCAAAGCAAAGAGGGCCTCCTTAGAAGGACACCCATCCCTTGTGATGGGTGAAAATTCAGGGTCTGCTTGATGATGATGGAATGTTACAATTTTGGTTTTTCAGGTAGTGAATGAAACTGTTCTTTCCCACATTGAGCGGTTAGAACTTACATCAAAAGACAGATTGGCTGTCAGGCTCTGGTCATCTAGATTTATGGAGATGAAGACATATACCATTGTGGCATCTGTGTAGATATTCATTGAAGATTGGATCTATGCTTAGGCAAATCGTTAATGTAGAGAGAAACAAGCATTGGGGGATACCTGCACTTATCTCATCAGCATTAAGCTGAAGTGAATTTGGATAATAAAAAAAACAATGCAAATGTGAAGGTCAAGCATAACTTTGAAAGAAATTTAGAAATGATTATTATTTTTAGGTTTTTATGAAACAATAATTTCTGAAGTTCTTTCAAAAATATGTTCAACCTCCACATTTACATTGCTTTCTTATCAAAATGAGGTTATGTCAGAAACTAAATACAAATAAGATTTTTATTTGATTTACTATATTAATAAATGTAAAGTTTTCATGAACAACAAATAAATTAATCTTCTGTTAATTTGATAAAGAGAAAAGTATTGTTTTTAATGCCATGTTCTTTCAGGACAGAGATTCTTTTTCTTTATGATCTGTAAATTGACTTATGTCTCATGACTTCTTGAGAAAGACACTAGTATGTTTTCCTGTTACCCTTCTTCATAGTTTTAAAT